TATATATATATATATATATATATATATATATATATATATATATATATATATATATATATATATATATATATATATACATATCTACATGTACAAGTACTGTTTATTGGGTTATTTTAATTTATTGATCAAATATGAGGTCAAGATGGCCAATGGCCTTTTTGTGTGGTTACAGATCAAGATGCAGTCATGATCTATAATCACACGAAACAGCACACCAATTTTCAGCTATCTTCAACAAGTTTGTTTGGTGAATAAGGGGGTTATTAATAACATGATAATAATAGTAATAATAATAATTATAATTATAATTGATAATACTAATAATAATATATTTTGTATCATAAAATAATCTCTTGATAGTCATAGTCTGAAACAAAGGAAAATCAAACTGGTTTGAAAATGTTGTATACTGTACATGACTTGTACCAAACACAGAGATTACCTAGTTACATAAACCGCAACATCATGTCATGCATGTGCTTGTACAATATGTGAATTATAAAATACCTAAGTTTTATGTGGCTTGTGTTGTAGCCAATATAATGTGCACTCCAAATTAAATGGCTAACCCCACATGTAGGACATTATTCTCCCGTAGTGCCCATGGGCCAATTACAGGCCTGTAAAGACAAAGCAAAAAGGTATATAACAAACAACTTATCAACCTCAAATGTTCAGTCTTTATGGGAAATTCTCAAACCTTGGCCAGGTCTCCGTTTGAGATTTTCTCGTAAAGACCTCACTCTCGGGTAATAAGTAGTTAATACTGGACAGGTCTGCTGGTATGTATTTTGAGCCTTTCTGATAATTCCCATATTTCAGGGTGCTATCACAGAAGAGAAATCTGAAGCAACTCATATTGTTTATGGACCTCCGCCACCCTTTCCAGAAGGTTGTGGTTTGTTTCCACTCTAGTTGCATAATTTATTTTTTTATATTGAGTTATACATGTATTTTTAGTTTTACATGTAATGAGCTTTAAAAAAGAGCAATACAGTCCAAATTCCATTCTAAAGTGTGTGTGATACCTATATGTACAGTACATATTTTTCAGATAAACAATATGAAATGGGTAGTATGGGTGTATATTTTCACGAGTGTCGTTGTATGAGCCCACAGTGCAAGTCAACTTACAAGCAATGCATGGAACTTGCTTGTACATGTACAGTAGCTGTATGTAGCAATAGTGTGTACACTTGTGCACTTAACTAAGAGACATTCATTTGGTATTTATAACTTTGATGTTTTTTTTTCTTGCTTGTAGAGGAGTGGTTAAGGCCACTTTTGAGACAGGATAAACAGGTTCTGGTTCATTGGTGGTATTACCCAGACAGGTTTGTCAACTTAATGACTGTATATTTTCTGACAGTTAAACATCTTGGTTTATTACAGTGTATTGTTCAAAATGCATGTAAATGATTGTATGTTATGCTGATTGCATTTTAGTTATGACACGTGGGTGCCATCTACAGACATTGAGGATGAGCCACAACCTGAGCCCCAACACCAGGGACCCTGGCAGGTAATGCAAAATTGTACATAACTGTGTTATAGATCAGTTCTACTGTGCTTTATCATGATAACCATGGCTGCATTGTACATATTATAATTAATCCCTCCCAAAAAAATAAAATGAAGTCAAAGCACTCTAACTTGTAAATTAAAGACCTTTAAAGTGTTGAAGTTGGAATGCATTGGTGTCATTCCACAAAGTGGTTGGTAATGTTTTTGTTGCTTTGGTAGTAGCAGTTGTAACTTAACAGTTGTATTTTTCTGGTCCATCTTTAGGTGAATGCTCGCTGGTTAACAGATCTGGATGTGTTTAATGAGTGGATGAATGAGGAAGATTATGAGTTAACAGATGCCGATGGCTCAGTAAGTAATGAGCATCTTGCCTTCCTTTCACATCATATATTTTCTCTCACATGATATCAGTGCATCAAGAATATTCTTTTAGTCCAGCCAGTGTCCCAGTGTGGTTCTTCTACGGTGTAATCTCATGTGAACTGACACAAATACCCTTGGAACCTAAAAAAAAATGAATATTAAGTGCCCACTAACTGCTGTAGCAGAGGTTTCCATGCAATGGGAAGTGTCTGCCAACTGAAGGTATATGTTAAATTATGCTAGGCACTTTATTTTATGCCATATATTAATTAGTTACAGAAACACTAGTAAAGCCACAGGACACTAATGATCATCAGATATTACCATCACTGTTATTCTCCTGATGTGTGCACATGTACATTGGGGAAGATATACAGTGTACACTTGACATGTTTCACTTTATATTGTCTTCATTCTAGGGCAACAAAAGAGAAACATCGCCAGCTTTAGGTTAGTAAAGGAAATTTGAATACTTCAAATGTAGATATAAACTTGAAAACTCTTTTTACTAGCCTAAGGTAATAATGAAATTTCTAGTTTCTTTGTTAAGTGCTGGACATCAATTTCATTTAAACAGCAAAGACCAGAAGGAAAAGTCTGAGAACAGGAGCAAGTTCTGATGAAGTAAGTACTTTATGGTGATCTGTAACAGAATGTACAATGTAGCTTATGATACCAGCAAATTTTATTTTATTTAATCATATTTTGTTTTACTTTGTTTCTTCCTTTTTTAAAGTAATGTTCAATCTTCCATACAGTGCTACAAAATAATTAGTCCTTTTTTTAGGCCAGAANCTTCAAAAAATGTGTTTGGTAGGGGATTTACCACAAAGCGTGTTATAATCATGTGCTTGAGTGCAAATTCGTTTCCAATAACAAGCTGAGACCAAAAATATCTCTGAAAAAGACCTCTCCCCAAAATGTGAATCGTGTTACTTTTTCACACTTTAGAAGTTCATTTGGCTACTTCATGTCGCTGTCTTCTATCACTTTGGCTCACAGTTCCATAGAAGTCACCGCACATGTACCTTCCCTATTAACTGTGATGTGTTAAAGCATTAAATTTTTATTTGATATGGTGTCAGACAGCGTTTTTTTCCCTTTGCAGTGTCCATGCCATTGAAAGGAGAGCCTTGCCTGAATTTTTCAACGGTAAAAACAAATCCAAGACTCCCGAAGTGTAAGTAGAACTCCTTCTATTGTAGAGTGACGGTAACCTTTTTGGCTGCTCAGAACTGGATGCTTTAAAAATGTTTTTATACAGCTAGTTAACCCCTCTCTGTCTTCAATAATTATATGCCAGCAGCTTCCTTTTGCAGTGATTAATAACGAAAAAGGTTTCTGGAGGGCAAAGCTTCCTCGCTTCCATAAAAAAAAAAGCGTTTTAATTTTGCAATATTCAAATCGTCGTTAAATCTCAACCTTACATGGCATTGGTCTGAAAATTTGGTTCTGACTGTTTAATATATGCTTTTTCCAGTTCTGAACTCAATTAGCTGCAGCGAAAAGTTTAATCGAAATTATCCATCTTGTGACCAACTGTTGCAAAAGGCCTGTTAAATGGGTGGCATAAGACCGCTCCCACTGGAGAGACTGTGAGGGCCTACGAATATGGCTGATCCTTACTAATTTGTTTTTGATTCTCATATTTATTTAGTTATCTTGCTTGTCGCAACTTCATGCTTGATGCATACCGACTGAACCCGACAGAATACCTCACTGCTACGGCCTGTCGACGGAACCTTGGTGGTGATGTGTGTGCAGTTGTGAGGTACGTGGTGAATTGCTGAATGTTTGGTAGCAAATGTAGCGTCCGTAGACATATGTACATGTACATGTATGCAGGTAAATGATAAATGAGTTAATGACTCGCTGTAGACTTCTGCCAAAGTCTGGCATGTTAAAATAGCGGCACTGTCCCATTTCTGGTCATCCTGTCCAGCTTGGACTTCTCCGTATTATATGGCTAGTTCCCTGAGCGGGCAAGATAAACTGAATCCTGCGCTGTGATTGGTACCCGAGCGGGCAACATGTCGCTCTCTTGCCCGCTCGGGATTACCCGCTGTGTCCCGCAAGAAAATAGTGTTTCTTTTCCTTATAATAAATCTTTTATTGACCAAGCTTGTTCGGTCAAGATGGCTGGATATTGGCCTCGTTCTTTTTTGTGCGTGTTTGTGGACCTGGTCTCCGTCTCGGTCCACAAACACGCAAAAAAAGAACTTGGCCAATATCCAGCCATCTTGACTTCACGCTTGGTCAGTAACCCATATTTCTTGTTTAGGATTCACGCTTTTCTAGAGCAGTGGGGTCTGATCAATTATCAAGTGGATGCTGACGGCCGCCCAGCTCCCATGGGACCACCATCCACGTCACACTTCCACGTGTTGGCTGACACGCCTGCAGGACTGCAGCCTCTTCAACCTGCCAAGACACAGGTATCACAGTATTCAGATTTCTTTCTCTGCGTTCTCTGTTCCTCTCCTGCTTGATACAAATAACAAGCCGAGAATTAATCGATTATGCCAACAAAACCAATTCCGGAGCGCTAACGGTAAAAGTCCACGTTCACTTCTGAAAACGTGTACAAAAAATGTTGAGTGTTCACAATTTGAGTGTCCTGACCGTAAGAGTTTGTAGCTAATAAGTGACTTGACCCTCAATTTCCTTTCAGATTCCCCCTTCACAGCAAATGATACAGTTTAAGGATGATTTCGGTAACAAAGAGATCTACAAGAGTGGTATAACAGGGGCCAACTTCGGGTAAGTTGCCGCGTGTCTTTTTTAAGTAAACTGGTGTTTTTTTGTGCTAGTATTTATCTTTAAAATGCATTAAAGAGCTAATTTTTTCCCTTCATCCTTTAGCCTTCGCTCGGACCAGTATCTTTCGAAAAAGAGCCAAAAGGTAAGCCAGTAAAATTCTCACTTAACACCAGTTGAACAGCGACAACAACATTCGAAGCCATGCCACCCCCAGATATCGGTCGGGCACCTACAACTGTTGCTACGGAGAGACTCGATGTGAACTAGGCCATTTACAATTTACCTTGTCTCATTATTACTTTTGCTTCCAAATAGCAAAAACAAAATAAAAACAAACAAACACTGTAATGTGACGTGTCGATGTTTTTCGTTCTCGTAGGCTGCAACAGCCACTAAGGAATGGACTGAGCAAGAGACGCTTCTTCTGCTGGAGGTATACGAGAAAAAGAAATATTTAGATTGTAATTTACAGAGCGATACAAAACTAAAGACTGGAAATGTAGTATTCACAAAGGAAATGTGTGACGGATTCTAGCCAGATTTAGAAATTAGAAAATGACCACCAAAATTGAGTGAAATATAAAAAAAATTACCATTGGAAACAGCGAAGGAGCATTTCAGTAACACAGCAAATACAAAAGAAGGTACGGATGGACAGAAAGTGAAGAAGATTAAAACGGATTTCTGTGTGGGTTTTGAAAACCCGTCAGGCTGAACAGCTTTTAAAGTTAATCTCGCTTGTTTGTTGCAATTAATTATCAAGCCCGGGAGACATATTTGTTTGTAATGAAGGTATGGTTTTGTCATTTAGATCCACAGAAGTAGTTTATTTGCTAATACAACGTTTATTTCATACTGTCCTTTTAATTGTCATGTCCCTTAACCAATTTCGTGTTAGACAAGATTCCTTGTTGTGTACTCTGTAGGGCTTGGAAATGTTTAAAGATGACTGGAATAAGGTGGCTGAGCATGTTGGTACACGAACACAAGATGAATGCATACTGCACTTTCTGAGACTTCCAATAGAGGACCCGTATCTAGAAGATGTACAACTGGGTGAGTTTGAAGGGATTGATAAACTCCTGAGGGGGAGAGGGGGTGGGGGACTCTTATATGAAAAGGTCTGGGATGTTCGTCGGAATATATAATTAAAACCCCTAAAGGATACCCCTAAAAGATACCACTTAAAACGGAAATGTCTTTTTTTTTTTTTGTAGCGTTTGTGTGACGTTTCCAACAACCGCGTCATCGGAAAAAAAAGTTTTAGCATTTGTTAGGAACTGAGCATGTTGACATTTTATTGGCATTTGCTTAATATTGTTGTTGTTTTTCCAGGTCCGTTGTCACACCAGCCTGTACCATTCAGTCAACAGGGTAACCCAATCATGTCCACAGTGGCTTTCCTAGCCTCAGTTGTGGATCCTCGAGTGGCAAGTGCTGCTGCTAAAGCTGCTTTAGGTTAGAAAACCATTTCATTACGCTCTGTCACATAAAATGTAATGTAACGTTGCCATGTCAACTTCAATCTTCATCCTGAGCGAGATTATGATTGGTCAGATCAAACCGAACTCATCAAAAGTTGTCAGATGCATATCATAAGTCAATCAAAAGCTTTGTCACGTGCAGTGGTATACAGCGTACAGCTGTTGGCTTTTTGGCACTCGATGTTGAAACTGACAAACGGGAAAAACGTAAACGAAATTGTTTATCTGCTTTTTCAATTCATGTTTTGTTATTAACAGAGAAATTCTCGGAAATGAAGGATGAGATTCCCCAGGCGGTCATCGACAGCCATGTAAAGAACGCTGCTAGTGCTCGGGCAGAGAAAGTAAAACAGGAGACTTCAGAAGAAAATACAGGTACACTTTACAAAATACTGTTGTCTGACTGAGCTTTTGTTTTTAGCGTGGACTAGAGGAGTTGTTGCGCTAATTATTCTTTCAGTAGGTCACCCAGCTGGAAAAATATATGGGAATTCCGTTTTGGGCCTTTGGGTTTTGAAAGGCATGCCCGATGTGAATGGAGGGTGCGAATTCAGGGAAATCTACATAACGACTTGTCAAAATCTGGAAAACTCGCGAAAGTGATGTAACTCCTTGTGAGAAATTCTGTCTCGCTCAGTTTTCAGGCTCCTCGGTCAGCGCTGACCGAGCAGGCCCAGGATTGGGTATGAATTTGACTTGTTAATTGTAATGGCGTTAAAACCCATGCGCTTGGTATAATGACGAAAATTTAACTACATCCCTCGTCTATCCCCATCCCGGTCTCCAAACAGTAAACCAAACTATCCCACTAAATCACTTTTATATCTTTGTATTGTTCAGAAGAAACACCGCAACCCATGGAAGTGAATGGAAGCCAGGTAACAGGATCTGAGGGTGGAGAGACACGGGCGCAAGATGTCAAGGTCAGAGCTAGTTGACTGTAAAATATTAACCAAAAACAAACCCCATTTGGGTGTACTCTTCTCTAGTGCTTATATGGTGTCTTCCTAGCTCCACTGGGGCTATGGTTTCTTACTCTGGTTGGGACTCTAGATAGTCCATCCAGTTGCCCTCAAAATTTTGACAGGTGTTCCTAGCAAATTACTGGTGGAACTGCTCGTGAACTTGACAGGAAAGAGACGCTGTGATAATAAATACGGACACCCATCTGACCCCCCAATTCTTAGCGCTCTGTCTACATGAACGAGAGGCAACGTTTATTCTTTTTTCTCTCTCTCTCTCTCTCTGTCGTTAGATGGAAGACTCGTCGGAGACGAGTAGCCACGCTCAGAACGGAGATAAAACACAAGCTATCAACGAGGAAAACATTGCAAAGGCAGCTGCATCAGCTCTGGCAGCGGCAGCAGTGAAAGCTAAGGTAACTGTCCTGTGGTTAGTCATTTAGTGTATAGTACACAACCTTAACAAAACGTGGTCACATTACTTTGGAAGAAACGCTCTAACGAAGAGTATTCTATGGCAAAATAGAATTTCACCGAGGCGCCCTTTTTTGTGTGGCAGATTGACTTTTTTATTCAAACGATTTTCAGTTACATGTTAAGGTTTTAATCCTTTCCCCCAAGTTTTTCTAAAAAACAAAAAATGGCAGTATTCCGTCGGGGTTTTGGAGCAAGGGAATAAAAACAAAATTGGGAATAATTATAACAAGAAAGCTAATTAGTACGTTGTCAATATTTCCTTGTAATTTGTTGCTTGCAGAGTGAAGGCAGGATGACTGAGTAGTTGTAATCCCCAAACGTTTTAGGTATCTTTGCGCAAAGTGCTTCGATTTCACAACAGTTGGTTTAAAACCTTGATTTATTTGAGCTCCGTGGAACTGATCAGGCTGTACTTTGAGTGCAAGTTGTAGTTGCACTTGGACTTTTTGAGTCTCTAATTGGCAATAAAATTGAGGATTATCTCATTTCTATGGCGTTTTACTTCCGCCCTACTCGTTTGAAATCAGCGCTACACATTTTATTTCCCCGACAGCACCTGGCTCAAGTTGAAGAGCGTAAGATCAAGAGCCTGGTAGCGCTTCTCGTTGAGACGCAGATGAAGAAACTGGAGATTAAACTGCGCCACTTTGAAGAACTTGAAACCATCATGGACCGCGAGCGAGAGGCGGTAAGTACAGAGCAGAAAACGCTCTTCAAACCGGAGGAATTCGAAACCGCCGGCTTTGAGTTTTAGTGTGAACGGAAAACATTTTGAGAAATGGAGTTTTTCAAAAACGATGACGTCACGATTATCATGTGATTAATCCTAATCCTCAAGGGTGCACTAAAGCGTTTCTGCTGCCGGTGATTGTTGGTTTTCATATTTGTCCAGCGAAGTGTATACGGAAAACATTTGATACGTTGTCAGACTGACGGGGCCTTAGTAGAGGAGACGTGTAACCCGCTTCATGTTTTTATTTTGTCAGCTTGAGTACCAGCGCCAGCAACTCCTTGCTGAAAGACAACAGTTCCATCAAGAACAACTCAAGGCTGCTGAGCTGCGAGCTCGCGCTGCGGCCGGTCATTTGTCCCCCTCGGCACCCTCCCCAGGGCAGCTTCAACCGCAGTCACAGGTATCCCAGCCTCAACCCCAGTTTCCACAGCAACAACAGCAGTCACAGCCACAAGCGCCCCAACAGCGGAGGCATTCTCAACAGGCCCAGTCACAGGTCCCTCAGCCGGGAGTGTCAAGTCACATGCCACAGGCTGCCAGTCCTGCTCAGCAAGGTAAGAAATTTTCAGTCATTCTTTGAACTGGCTGAGCAAAATACAGTGAAACCTGTATCAAGCGGATTCGCATGGGTATTCGTTAGTGTCCGCTTAATGGAATACTACGAAGAGTCGGTATTTGTTCCTGACACCCTCCGCGCGATCGGAAAACTTAAAATTATGCAAATTAGGGAAAGCTAAGTGAAGAGAACGACTCGTTGAGGCGTTTGAGCTTCAGCGCTCGCCGTTCGTTTTTTCCTTCGTATTCGTATATTCTTGTTTCAGTGGGAAAAAGAAGAGATTACCCACAGTCTGGCTTAACAGATGTGTTCGCTTACTGCGAGCAAGACTTATCACTACCAGCACCTTACGAACGACTTGAAAAAAATACCAGCGAACGGAGCTCAAACAGAACTCCTTAATTTGACCAACAATAGACGGATCGAAACCGACTAGAACCGAGCAATGACTGTTGGCAAACTTTACATGAGTCCAGGGTTTTCCTTACAATTTTTCCTTTGGGAGTCCCTTGGACTCCTTCAACCCAAGGTTGAGGGTCCAGAAGAAAAAAGTGGGGGTCCCACGGTTAGAGTTTTAAATTCCAGGAGAACAATCTAATCTTTTGGCCTTCCCCTTTTAGTGAAGTTTCATCCCTAATTTCTTTTCAATGGAGACGTCACATGTTTCATCAAGCATCAGTCCAATAAAAGGTGTGCAAGAATCATTTAGTTTTTTTGCGTCAAGTTATCTTCAACACATTTGGCCAAAACAGATTCCATCTCTGAAACAATTTCGGGTTTCTTGTAAAAAAACAGAAGCATCACTACATCCAATAGCAGGCTGAAGTTCCATTATTGGAAAAAAGTTATCAGCAGCAATGTTGTTCATCATAACTTATACCGTTCTAAGCTGGACAACGTGTCTTCTCGTGATTTCCTGTGTTTCATACTCAATGTTCTTCTTTGCATTTGTAACAGTCACTTGAAAGCTTTTTC